GAAGATCTTGAAGATAGTTGCCAACAACATCAATGAAATAACTTTTCAATATTTGTGTCAAAAATTACATGTGGTAATCTCAGAAGTAGATATACATACAAAGAGGTATGTATGGATGACAACATGTGATATGAAGCTTATTCTTATGTAATGACTTATATTAATACTAGAGACCTGGTACACGAATTCGTGCATGGTGGGGTCCCTCAGCTTGGCATGTGCCCTCTCACAATCTGGGACCTCTTGGGGGATGTCGGATCAGGTTGAAACCAGCAGTCCAACATCCCCTAAGGGGTGTAGTAGTCCGTGAAGGGCAGGCAGCCGGGGCAGAGCCCGATCCTGGGCCAGGCACTGTGCAGCTCCCACTTATCCCAGCCCCTACTGCACCTGCCTCTGTCACCACTAGGTAGTGCTGCCTCAGCTGTGCTCAACAGATGTGAGCCTGGTGCCACTCATTAGTCAGCTGAGCAGTGGCACTCCCTCCTGTTGTGGAAACACACTGACCAGCAGGGGGCAGCTCCTGCATTGATCACCTGCCCCCTGCTGATCAGTGTGCATCATAGTGACTGGTCGTTACATAATTTTTATATGGACCAGTCATTCTCTTGTTTGGTCACTTAGGCTTTTATATATATAGATTACATGACTGTGAGACAATCATATTAACATGAACTCTAATTTGCTATAAAATATTTATTTTAGTTTATTGTACTTGAGATCCCTGTGGGTATAGGTAATAGTAAAGAACAAGGGCTCAGAGGACTGACTGCTTAGCTTTAATTCCCAACCAATTTTGTGACCTTATATAATTCCCTTACTTTTCCATGCCTTAGTTTCTTCACTGGTAAAATGGATACCCTTAGCTAAGAGAGTTGTCATGAAATCAAGTTCCATAGCATGGGGAACTGAAGCAGTAGTGTACTGGTTTATAGTAAATAATCCATAATTATTGTTTTGAGGTCTTGAGTAAATCAGAATTGAATGTTAATTGAATTGTCGATTTTCTACAAAGAAGCAACGAGTGGCATGGGGCTAACATTTTCTTTCTGCTAAATTTTTATATGGACTATCTTTACCAATTAATGTAATCCTCACTTCAATATGATAAATTAGTTTTAAAACCTAGACATATCATATTTAAGTCGTTTAATACAATGTTCTTTACATAATTGTTATTTAAAAACTTTTTCAGTACTCTTTCACTAAGCGAGAAAGCCCAGCGAGCACTTGATAAGTGGAAAATGGAACACAGCAACTTGTCCACTGATGCTTTAAGAGACCAACTAACTCGGGTGCTAACTATGATAGGAGCATATGATATTATGGACAAAATAACAGCTTTTCAACTTTTTGCATGCACAATCAAATTCTGAACAGTGTATCCATAATAAAAGCTAAAAACTTAGGATGCACTTTATAATTAAAACTGAATATAAGAGAATTGCATGTCATTTCTCTTAATACACATTTCTAAGATGATGACAATTTATATGTTAAAATAAAATATCAGACACTGTTTTGTGTATTTGTTCTATTGCTCTAGAATTATGATAATGAATTTTAAAAATAAATAATTCCATTGAACATTCTTTGTTACATAATGCTTTTATGCAACCCTAGATTTATAGGTAATATGGTTATTAATAACTTTTATGGGAGTTAGAAAGCAAGGTAGTTTCTTTTTAGATGGTGGCTTAAAAACAGAAATCAATTGTATTACAGGAATGGGAGAGCTGTGAAACATAAACTAAGTCCTGGGTCAGTAATCCTCTAGCTCCTTCTTCTGTCAGAAACACACTTTCATATGGGGAAGCCATTTAATATATTTTAGGTGCCGTTGGACCAGCTCTTGTCATATGCAATCCTCTTTCCCCACGACTGAAGCTGCTAATACCAAGGTTTTCTACCCATATAACTACAATGAATGGTCCAGGGAAAGCCATTTGATTCAAGCCAGGCCATTAAGAATTCCCTTGGGCCTTTCTGCACAGCTCTCAGGGAAGATACAATATTTCTGCTGGTAGGTTAGGAGTCTTGGAGCCTTAGTCTATCATGTGCAGCTTCTGGTGGTCTGTTTGAGAGCTAGATAGGGAGAGGAAGATGGAATCCAGCTGTATTACTCAGGGTTCTCTAGAGAAACAGAACCAACAAGCTATGTGTGTATATATGCATCTTTATTAGATGTAGGCTCTGTATTTCAAACCCAAGATTTCCTGGATCCAGAACCCATAGTTGTCTCTCTGACAGACACATGGCTTCTAAAACATAAGCTTTTCAACAAAAGGTGCCAGGATAACTGAATAGACATATGCAAAAGAATGGACCACTTGCCGAAACCGGTTTGGCTCAGTGATAGAGCGTTGGTCTGCGGACTGAAAGATCCCAGGTTAGATTCCGGTCAAGGGCATGTACATTGGTTGCGGGCACATCCCCGTAGGGGGTGTGCAAGAGGCGGCTGGTTGATGTTTCTCTCTCATCTATGTTTCTGGCTCTCTCTCTCCCTTCCTCTCTGTAAAAAATCAATAAAATATATTAAAAAAAAAAAAAAAGAATGGACCCCTATCTCATGTGATATACAAACATTAATTCAAAACGGATTGGTCCTATGCATAAGAGGTAAAACTATAGAATTCTTAGCCAAAACTGGTTTGGCTCAGTGGATGGATTATCGGCCTGTGGACTGAAAGGTCCCAGGTTCGATTCCAGTCAAGGGCATATATGTTGGTTGCAGGCACATCCCTGGTAGGGGGTGTGCAGGAGGCAACTGGTCGATGTTTTTCTCTCTTCGATGTTTCTAGCTCTCTATTCCTCTCCCTTCCTCCCTGTAAAAAATCAATAAAATATATTTACAAAAAAAACAACTATAGAATTCTTAGAAGAAAACACAGGCATAATTCTTCATGACCTTGGGCTAGGCGAAAGTTTCTGGATATGACACCAAAGGAAAGTAACAAAGGAAAAAGTGATCACTGCTGTGATCTATTATTGTAAAGATACAATTTCAAAGCTACAGCCAGGTCTTTTGTGCCACTGAAAAGTACCCAACAGCAGTAAATAGTCCTATTATTTCAAGTGCTCTAGTTGGCATGGTTTGAAACCCAGAGGATGCACAATGGGAAATCACTTCTCTTTGCATAATCATGTACAGTGCCACTTCTGTTACGAGCAGGGAGATCTGTATGAATTTAGCTGCTTTTAGGAAAATGTTTCTCTTACTTGGCTCAGAGCTGAGAAAATGTTTGTTGTGTGGGTGTGTGTTTGGTTCAATAAGTTACCAGAAAACTACAGAAGAAATGTAGATGTACATTTCATTTCATACTGGGATAGAGACTTGAGGGGTCTAAACTTGGGGTGTCAAATGGGACAGTTTTGCATAATTGTGTCCTGTAAACTGCCCCCCTGAGGTTTGGGTGTCGGTGGGCTGTGGATCCTGGGGAAAATAATCTCTGTGGGAGGGATCAGAGTTCTCCTAAATGGAGATTGAAAAAAAAAAATATATTTTATTGATTTTTTAGAGGGATTGAGAGTTAGGAACATCGATGAGATCATCAATCATGCCCTTGACTGGAATCGAACCTGGGACCTTTCAGTCCTCAAGCCGGCAGTCTATCCACTGAGCCAAACCGGTTTCTGCTAAATGGGAAAAAATTTTTTTTTATAGTAGGAGGGAAAGTAAGTTCTTTCACTGAGGAGCAGTGAAGTAAGTCTCAAATGGACAGAAGTAAATTGTAGGCAGCACAACGAGGTACTGCTGTGTCCATGAAGAAAACTTCCAGTCCCCACTAACTGTTGAACGTTTTGTTCTTTTCCTTTAACTTTAGAAATAGACATATTTAGCATCTGATTTTGTTTCCTCTTGGGTTCTAAAATTTTATTACCTACAGTCTTTCAGTAAAACTGTAAAGGTAAATTCACGTGTAGATCTAGTGTGGTTTTGGGCATTTCAGTCAGAGTAGCATCTTGTTGAGGTAAGTGAGCGGAGCCTCAAGGCCGAGCCGAGGACCCAGGAGTCACAGAATACAATCCTCTCCTCCCCACCAAAGGTCACAGGCCGGCGCTCTACCCACTGGGCCAAACCGGCTTCAGCTCACCTTGTACTTTCAGTGGCTGTCCCTCACGGGTGCTTTGGGAACACCAGGCATCATTAAGTCATTTGACCATGTGGTCCAAGATTCAGTATCTTGACGCGTTTTAGCATCACGCCTGCCTCACACGTAACACTTTATTTTGGGGAAGCCCGTTTCCGCACACCCCAGCCCCTCGAACCGCCAAGCCTGGCTCCCTGTGTGGCGGTGCGCCAATACCTGTCAGGCTGGCTGGCTGTCCCTGGGGCGCGGCGGCCTGGCCTCGCGGCCCCACGCTCAGCCCGCCGAGTCCCCGGGACGTGACCCGAGCGGCGGGCGCGGAGGTGGGGGCGTGCGCCCAGGCAGGGGGCGGCGCCAGGCCCCCCGCCCCGCTGACGCCACATAGGCCGACATCACCTCAGGCGCGCGCCGTGCAATCGCCGCCGCCGGCCGCCCCGGCGCGGTCCGGCCCTGAGATCCCTCCGCCCTCGCGCTCAGATCCCTCCGTCCGCCCTAGACGGACTCTCGTGGTCCTGGCGCCCCGCATCTGGGGGCACACAGGTTGGGGTGCGCCCGCACCTCCCAGCGGGTCTCCTCCAAGCTCACGGCCTAATTCCTTCTCGGTGCCACTGCAGGTGCCGCAGGTGCCGCCCGCTCCTTCAGGTCGTCGTCTCTCCAGGCGGAAGGAGACCGCGGTGTCAAAGAGTCCGCGCGAGGGGGCGTGGCCGGCGGCAGGCCCCGCCCCTGCCTGTGACGCACCGGGTGGCGCGCGCCGGCCGGGCGGAGGGAGTGGGTCCGGGTGGAGGAGAAGATCTGGGGGCCCGGGCCGCCTGCCGACGTCCACCCGCCTGCCTCTCTCGCCCCGCGGACTCCGAGGAGCGGCCGGCGACTTCGGTCTGCAAGCGTCTCCGGACAACCAAGGCGGCGGCGGCCGGGATGGCGTTGCTGGGCTTACTGCAGGCGGGCGGGTCGGTGCTGGGGCAGGCGATGGAGAAAGTGACGGGCGGCAACCTTCTATCCATGTTCCTGGTCGCCTGCGCCTTCACGCTCAGCCTGGTCTACCTGCTCCGCCTCGCCATGGGCCACCTCGCCCCCCCGCCGGCAGGGGCGGTAGGTGCACCCCCAGGGGTCTGGGGGGGGGCGGAAGGGCTAGTGGGGGCGGCGACCTGCGCTCGGCTGGGCGTTGGCGGCGGCCCCCAGGGGGAGGGCGCACGGGGTGGGCGCGCACGGGGCGTCCGGTGCGGAGGGGATTCAGGGGTGGCGCATGCCCTGGCCTTGCTGGCCTTGGTGCTGACGGTCCCGGTACTGACGGTGGCCACAGGTCTGGTCCTGGCCGCCGGGGTCGTGCTTCCCGCCTTTGTGATCACAGTGGTTCTGTGCCGGTTGCGGTCCTGGTAGTTCTGATGGCCGGAGTCCGCATTGAAGGCTGAGGTGAGGCTATGGCCAGGGCGCCGATGCCCTGGTAGCCGTCCTGGCCGCCCCAGGGGTATTTCGGGTCTGGCGGGGGACCCTGGTGGCTTCATCCTGGTGGCTGCTGGCCTTGAGTGGCTGTGTGGTTCTGTGGGCTGTGGCAGTCATCGCCCCGGATGGCGACTTACTGTATGTCAGTATGGAGGAGGAGGAGGGTGTTCATTTTGGTAGAATGAGAGTGACTGGAGTGCTGGAGTGTAGGGACCTTCCTATGAGGCTGATAAAAGCATTTCGTGGCTTCATTGACCACTTCTCTATTTGAGGAGTGCATCCTTAACCAGCCAACGAGGGCACAAACTACTGACCAAGTATTAGCTTTACAATAATTTTTGTTTGAACTGTAGCAGGCATTTAGTATTGTTATCTTTGCTTCACATGAGATTTTTTTTTTTTGGGGGGGGGGAGTGGTATTTGTCTTTGGAAAGATAAGTGGCTTTGGTTTTATTTATTTTTAAACTTTACTTATTTAAAATATATATTTCATTGATTTTTTTTTTTTTTTGTGTGTGTGAGAGAGAGAGAGAGAGAGAGAGAGAGAGAATGGAAGGAAGGGGGATAGAAAGAGAGAAACATAGATGAGAGGGAAACATCATGGATTAACTGCCTACTGCACACTCCCTCCAGGGGACTGAGCCCACAACCTGGCATATGCCCTGACCTGGAATCTAACTGAACTGGTGGCCTCTTGGTTCCTGGCTCATTGCTCCCGGCCGAGTTACACCAGCTGTACTGTAGCGTGCTGTAACATGCTGTGACATGCTGTAACATGCTGTAGCTTTAGTATTTAAGATGCTTGTTACTATTATTCCAAGAGTGGGTTTGGAGCACACCTTACTATTTGAGACCACCAACCATTTGAGGAGTCTTATTTCAGTTGCAAAAAGATTTCCAGGAAACAATGTTGTAATCTGCAAGTCTCATTTGAGGTCATCTAAAGTACCTTTTATAGTGAACTAGAGGCCCTGTACACGACATTTGTGCACTGGGGGAGGTTCCCTCAGCCTGACCTGTGCCCTCTTGCAGTCCAGGACCCGCTGGGGGATGTCCGCTTGGTGGTTTAGGTCCGCTTCTTGCCATGAGCTGGCTTCTGGATGAGCAGAGCTCCTCCTGTGGAAACCCACTGAGCACCAGAGGGCAGCTGCTGTGATGAGCGTCTGCCCCTGGTGGTCAGTGAGAATCATAGCAACTGGTCATTCTGCTATTCGGTCAATTAGCATATTGGGGTGTTATTATATAGGATGGCCAAGAATTCCTGCTACAGTGGATCTACTCTCTCTTTTAAAATCAGTGGATCTAGTTCATTTGCAGTGAGAGAAGTATAAGATGTGTTCTGTTTACTGATAAATGTCACTTCTTAAACATTTCCTTTATTTCTGTACCTCAAGTTACTGTTTGTCTTCTCTACCTTCTTTAGGCAAGATTCTGGGACTAAAATTCTGAGTGGTCATGGGAGTAAGTGGTGAAGACACTTTTAAGTTTGACTTTTTCAGGTTGTGTTTTGTTTTCCACTCGTGATTAAGAAAGTTGCCTAGAAACACCAGTAATAGTATTGGACATATTCTGGACAGTGTTCAGCATTTATAATTGCATTGCCTTTATGTGTGAGTACTGACATAGCCTACATTATGTGTTGAGTTCCTATTCATTTTACTATGCATATTCCTAAGATATTTACATTTTAGCTGTTCTTTATTACTTTTGATGCTTCATTTTTTGATAACTTTTTAGTATTAATAGCAAATTCCATTTGTTTGGTTATGAAACTGAACTGGATCTCTCTCTTAAAATGTGAACTGAAAGTTTTTTGTTTCTCTTGCAGAAAAGTCCACCATACATTTTCTCTCCAATTCCATTCCTTGGACATGCCATAGCATTTGGGAAAAGTCCAATTGAATTCCTCGAAAATGCATATGAGAAGGTAAGTCTTCCAGATGATTAGAGGAAAAGAAATTAGTGCTTTTCAAACTTTTAAATGGCAGAATGTGACCAAGCTAGGATTTACTTGTGTTTTGATTTCCAAGTCTATGCTTTTAGTAGTAGAAGTAGTAGTAGTAGTAATAAAACACTTAAGTAATGTTTATTATGGCCAAGCTATTCTAATATATTTTTCTCTAATATATAAAATATACACATAACATGCATATTATATATAAACCAATGATTTTATATATATATATATCAATGATATATATATATATATATCATTGATATATATATATATATATATATATATATATATATATATATATATATATATATATATATATATATATAAAATCCTGGCCAGTTTGGCTCAGTGGATGGAGTGTTGGCCTGTGGACTCAAGGGTCCCAGGTTTGATTCCGGTCAAGGGCATATCAATGATATATATATATACACACACACACACACACACTCTAATTATTAGAGTCTAATATATATAATAATCTCTAACATATCTATATTTATTTAACCTTGACAACATTTCTATGAAGTGGGTGCTATTATTCCCATTTTATAGATGAGGGAAGCTGAAGCATGTTGGTGAGATAGTGGTAAAACTACTAAATTTTTTCGCATCTTCATATAGCAAGTACTATAGGAAAGGTCATAATCCTTTAGATACTCTTGTCAATTTATCTTTAACCAATGGGAGAAAAAAAAAATCTATATTCTCAAAGATACTTATGGCAGAATTGTGTATAAGTAAAAAATGGACACATCATCCATGTCTAATAATGAAAGAATAGTTAATTACTAACATTATGATATCTGTGTAGAACATAGAAAGTATTTTCAATATAAACAGTGAAAAAAAACAATAAGAATTTTTATTTTCCATTTGCAATTAGATGAGCATAATTATAAATTTGGACAAAGACTGGGGAAGAATTGCATTAAGGTTTATCAATGATTTTATTTTTAACAGTTACTGTGTTGTGATTTAAGAGATCATTGTCTTCGTGCTGTATATCTTTTGGTAACGTCAATATGGGTACCTTTTTCTCTTCAGTATGGACCTGTGTTTAGTTTCACAATGGTGGGCAAGACGTTTACTTACCTTCTGGGGAGTGAGGCTGCTGCACTGCTTTTTAATAGTAAAAATGAAGACCTGAATGCAGAAGATGTCTACAGCCGGCTGACAACACCTGTGTTTGGGAAGGGAGTTGCATATGATGTGCCTAATCCAGTAGGTGACACTGTTATCTTCAAGAAAAATAAATCTCTACTATAGTAGTTATAGCTTAGTAGTGTAATAGTATATACATTTAAAATGTAGAAAAAGTTTATTCCTTGGTTCAGAAACCTGAGATTCATGAGATTTAACAGGAGGAAAGCCACGAATAACTGACAAACAATGGGTGTTTTGTTTTATAGTGGCTGGCATGGGCCAAGCAATTTTAAAGGGTGGCCTAGCCCTGGCCAGTTTGGCTCAGTGGATGGAGTGTTGGCCTGTGGACTCAAGGGTCCCAGGTTTGATTCCGGTCAAGGGCATATACCTTGGTTGTGGGCACATCCCCAGTGGCAGGAGGCAGCTGGTTGATGTTTCTCTCTTATCGATGTTTCTGTCTCTCTATCCCTTTCCCTTTCTCTCTGTAAAAAGTCAATATATTTTTTTAAAAAAAGGGTGTCCTATACAAAGACATACAAGCAATGATGACTTCGTTTATTGGGAGCTGATTTGAGAGGGTAACAAGAAAATCCCGTTATTTTATTGGAGGGTCTCTTACCTCCCCACTCCTGCCTGAAATTCTAGCAGGAGAGCTCTTTTGAGCTAGAGATCCTTGACTTCAGAAGTTTGTGTGATTTCTTTCCTCCTAAAGTCAAATATTAAAGTACTGAAACTTGATGTAAAACACAAATGAGATAATTGGCTTAGTTGCTTGGTGTGGTCTCAGACTGTGAATGTATCATGCAACTCAGCACCTAGTCTCTAGTAGTTAAGAGAGTTAACGTTAAGTGCTGTTTCTGGGTTTGGGGTAGGTGGGAGAATGAATGGCTCTCCGAGGCCATAAACAAGATCCCTAGAAAAACACTGGTTAGATATATCCATATATATATATTTTTTCCACACAGCTTATCAGATCCTTGAAATAGAAATATCCCAAAGATTTAAAATTAGTAGTTGTCCCAGTGTGATTTTATTTTATTAAAACTATATTATATTCTAATTAAACTTCTGGCAGATAGTGTCAGTAGGAAATATAACAGGAGAATATGTGAAGGAACCTAAAAATATTGAGGCATATTGGACCTTTGGGAGGTTGCGGTGGCATCTGGGTTGGGTTGGAAGACTAGAAGATAACAGAATAGGAAAAGGGAGAGTTAGCTATGAGAAAAGAGTATATAGGAATGACAGGAGTTGGGATACCTAACTTATCATTTGGGAAGGGCCTGCAAAACAGGTCTTCTAGGTTACTTTAGATAGATGCATAAGTGTTCTAAGTTTCTCATATCTAGTGTGATTTTAAAAAAATCCTTTTACTATTTTAATTTTTTAGAAGGTTATTTTCTTTGAGTGTTACAGAGTTATAACCCAAATGGATCTTGTGATAAAACAAAATTGTATTTTAATGCTTTATACTCTTAATTTTTTTAAGGTTTTCTTGGAGCAGAAGAAAATGTTAAAAAGTGGCCTTAACATAGCACACTTTAGACAGCATGTTTCTATAATTGAAAATGAAACAAAGGAATACTTTCAGAGTTGGGGAGAAAGTGGAGAAAAAAGTAAGCAAAATGTTTTGGTTTTGCATTTGTCCTAATATTTCTACTTTCTAACTTGGAATGTAAGAATATGTGTGTGTATATAAAAAACAAACTACAACATAATGTAAAACCACCTTAGATTTAATGGAAAGAACATGCTATGATTACCAAGGAGTTAAACAGCGTGAGAGGAAGTGATTATTGCTGCTCACTAGCAAAAACTTAAAATGGGTTAAAGAACATGTATATCATTCAGTTCATTTATACTAATAATATAAAAATGGTTTGTGATTAGATTTTGAAATAAACAATGTAAAACTTTTGTAAGTTAATTTTAAGATATATATATATTTTACTCCCATTGGGCAAGTAAAAGTCCAAATGATTTAATTATATATTTAATACCTTATTTACCTATTATTGTATGGGAATGATATAGTCTATAAAAAATAAATTTAAATACATAAGTTTACTTTATCAAAAGTTTGATTTTAGCCCTTTCCAATAGAAATCTTTTAAGATGTATTATATACACCTTTGCATTATATAATGTACTGAATTGTTTGGATATTTCTGGGAACCCAGCCTTCATATTGGGGTGCCATGTTTCTTCCAGAGACAGTTGTCATAGTCATGGCTGGAAGCAACATCTGCCCAAGGAGCAGTAAGACCTCTGTGTAGGTTACCATGTTCTGGGTCTGGTATTCAGTTCTTTATAAAAGGTCTAGAAACTTGATTTATGGTTCTTGAGTTTTTATTCTCACTTTGCCTTAACAATTTTATATCTCTAATAAAAGAGAACATTTTAAAAGCATTTTTGGCAATATTAATGGGAATAACCTTTTTCTCTCCAGATTTGTTTGAAGCTCTTTCTGAGCTCATAATTTTAACAGCTAGCCATTGTTTACATGGAAAGGAAATCAGAAGTCAACTCAATGAGAAGGTGGCACAACTGTATGCAGATTTGGATGGAGGTTTTAGCCATGCAGCCTGGCTGTTGCCAGGTTGGCTCCCTTTGCCTAGTTTCAGGTATGGATAAAGAAACTACCTGGGGGGGATTTAACTTTGTATAATTACTGTAGTGTTAACAAAGATAAACATTAAACAAATTGAAGTACAAATTGGCAGTTACAAAATAGTCACAGGATATATAGTATAGCATAGGGAATATAGTCAATAATTTGTATATATAAAAGCCTAAGTGACCAGCCGACTGGCCTTTAGCTATGATGTACACTGACCACCAGGGGGCAGACGTTCAATGCAGGAGCAGAAACCACAGGCATGGAAACATTGAACAAACTGATGAATCTCAGAAAGAGGGGAGAGGGCAGGAAAAGATTAACCAAAGATTTTTATATGCATAGTAGAGGCCCTGTGCACAGATTTGTGCACTGGTGGGGTCCCTTGGGCTGGCCAGGCTGAAACAGGCCTGGTGCATGGATTTGTACACTGGTGGGGTCCCTCGGCCTGGCCTGAGGGGATCAGGCCGAAACCAGTTCTTCAACATTCCCTAAGGGTTCCTGGATTGCGAGAGGGTGCAGGCCAGGCCGAGGGACACCGCTGGTGCATGAATCCATGCGCTGGGCCTCTAGCTTGTATATTAGAAAAGCCTAAGTGACCGAATGTCTGGTCAACTGGTTGCTATGATGTGTACTGACCACCAGGGGCAGATGTTCAATGCAGAGCTTCTCCCTTGTGGTCAGTATGCTCCCACAGTGGGAGCGTTCGTTGTTCAGCTGACCAACGGGAGCCAGAGGCAGGGCTCACAGCTGGCAAGTGCCGCTGCAGCGGTGCAATCCTTTCCCAATCGGGACTGACTGGGTATGAGTTGCAGCAGGTGCAGTAGGGCCAGGATGAGCAGGAGCAGCAGGCAGGAGAGTCAGGCATTTGGATTGCCTGTTTCAGCCTGATCCCCACAGGCCATGCCAAGGGACCCCACCAGTGCATGAATCTGTGCATCGGCCCTCTAATATTGTAATACCTCTGTATGGTGCCAGGTGGGTACTAGACTTACTAGGGAGATCACTTGGTAAATTATATAAATGTCTCATGACTATGCTGTACACCTGAAACTAATATAATGAATATCAACTGTAATTTATTTAATCTTATTATGATCTCCCTTTCTTTATAAAAATTCAAGGCAGGTTTTCTTTATATATTGAGCTCATTTAAGGTACGTTTTAGCTTATTATAAGGGTAATTTGTTGTCCTGCTGTTCTAATATTTTCAAATCTACTTATCTCACATATTCCTTATACCCAGGAAAGTCTCCGAACTCTACCTAAAAGTGATATAGCCCTCTAAGCACTTGTTTGAGACCATTTGTAGCATATTGTGAAATTTTTTTGTTTAAAGTGTTAATGCCTTTCTTTAATCTTCTCTGTCTCCATGCCAGCTGTAGTTTGATTACCTAAACAGCAGGGATCATCTGTGATACAGAGAAATATTGCTCATAGACTTTATGTAAGCTTAGCATCTTGCTTATTAGGCTTTCTGTACCTTTGTTGATTCTTTTCTGCTCAGGTGAGATGGAGAGGAATTAATTTTTTTTTTTTTTTTTATCACTTCTATGTATTTATAGAGTAAAGCCAGGAGAGAGTCTAGAGGTCTTTGGTTATGCGCATCATAGTGACTGGTCGACCATTCCGCGGTTTGGTCGATAGGCTTTTATTTATATGATTACATTCTTTTTGCCCTGAGGAAAACTAGAAATTCTTAAAAATATATGATTTTCATGATGTCTTTTTCCCCTTGTTTCTGAGTTTTGTCAGATATTTTAGAGTCATTAAAGTTACTGAAGGTTTAAGTTAGATCCTGGTTATTTTCAAAAGGAATTTGGTGCCAGAAAGTTGCTTTATTATTTGAAATTATTTTCATCTTTGAATTACAGACGCAGAGACAGAGCTCATCGAGAGATCAAGAGTATTTTTTATAAGGCAATCCAGAAACGCAGGCAGTCAGAAGAAAAAATTGATGACATTCTCCAAACTTTACTAGATTCTACTTACAAGTAAGAGCTGTTTAGATCATATATTAAGCTGAAGCAGAAGATTACACATTAAAACATAGTTAAATAATACTATGTCTCCATGATGCTGCCTGACTGATATGGCCCAGTGGTTGAGCATTGACCTATGACCAGAAGGTCACAGCACATGCCTGGGTTGTGGGGTCTTGATCCCCAGTATATGTGTGTGTGTGTGTGGGGGGGGCAGCCGACTAATTCTGTCATTATTGATGTTTCTATCTCTCTTTCCCATCCCTTCCTCTTAAATCAGTAAAAAAATATATTTTTTATAAAAGTCACGATGCTGCAAAATTAGTAACTATGACCTTTGTAGGTTTTTTTAAAACATATTTTTATTGATTTCGGAGAAGAGGGAGAGGGAGAAAGATAGAGAGGAATATCAATGATGAGAGAGAATCATGGATCGGCTGCCTCCTGCACTGGGGATCGAGCTTGCAACCTGGGCATGTGCCCTTGACTATAATTGAACGTGGATCCTTCAGTCCGCAGGCCGATGTTCTTATCCACTGAGCCAAACTGGCTAGGGCTGACTTTTGTAGTTTTTAAATGAATGAGACATAAATTACTGGGATTCCATGACAGTTGGCATCCCAGTGATTATGTTTGGTAGCAAAGTTTGGTAGGAAACTGCAATTAAGTGTTTGTAATCAAAATCATATTTTCTATTCGTCTGCCTCTTTTCGCTACTAGATAAAATTCTGACTTCTGATGCACAAATACAAGAAACCATTATTCCTGACAAATTGTTTCATTATAACCCTTTATTTAAAGGTGTGAAATGTGTCTGCTAAAATGTTACATTTGTGTGTGCTGTTCACTCTGCAGGGATGGGCATCCTTTGACGGATGACGAAGTAGCAGGTATGCTCATTGGACTGCTCTTGGCAGGGCAGCACACATCCTCCACTACCAGTGCCTGGATGGGCTTCTTCTTGGCCAGAGACAAGACACTTCAAGAAAAATGTTACTTAGAACAGAAAGCAGTCTGTGGAGAAAATCTGCCTTCTTTAACTTATGACCAGGTTTGTTGGGTTATTATTTTAATTGCTGCCTTATTTGAATATCTGTGTCTAACTTTTAAAGGGAACAATTTGAGTAACAAAAGCAAAAATAAACATTAACTAAAAAGATTTTGTACAGTTAAGAAGACCATCAATAAAACAAAAGACAACCTACTGAATGGCCTAAGATACTTGCAAATGATACATTCAATAAAGGGTTAATACCCTAAAATTTTGGTATAACATCCTAAATAATTGGTGTAGCCATTTTGAAAAACAGTATGGAGATTCCTTAAAAATTATGAAGTAGAACTGTCCTAGGACTCAGCAATATTACTTCTAGGTATTTATGTGAAGAAAACAAAAACACTAATTCAAATGGGCACTTATTTATAGTAGCAGCATATGGAAGCAACTTACGTGTCTATCAATAGATAAATGGCTAAAGAAGATGTAGCATATTCATACAATAGAATAATACCCAGCAAAAAAAAAATAAAGAATGAAATCTTACTATTTGTGAAATCTTGCCATTTGTTTGATGAACCCAGAGGGTATTATGCTAAGTGAAATAAGCCAGAGAAAGACAAATACCATATGACTTCACTTATATGTAGAATCTACAAAAACAAATGAATTAACAACTAAAAAACCAGTCCCATAAATACAGAGAGCAAGTAATGGTTATCAAAGAAGATGGAGTGGGGATAGATGAAAAGAATGTTTTGAAAATAGAATATAAAAAAATAGAGGGGACAATTTGAGATTTTCTGTGTACTATAGATTCATTTGACTAGTGTCTTTGTTTTTTGAAAATTTCCCAGAAATGCCCTAATATTGGATTTGATTTGCTAATACTTTGTTGAGGATTTTTGCATCTTTATACAGGATATTGATCTGTGGTTTTATTTATTTATTTATTTGTTTTTAAAAAAGTATATTATATTGATTTTTTACAGAGAGAAAGAGAGAGGAATAGTTAGTTAGAAACATCGATGAGAGAGAATCATCGATCAGCTGCCTCCTGCACAGCCCCCATTGGGGATGTGCCCGCAACCATAGTACATGCCTTTTCCAGAATCAAACCCGGGACCTTTCAGTCTGCGGGCCTACACTCCCGGTTTCGGCTTGATTTGTAGTTTTAATATGAAGTCTTTGATAGATTTGCTATCAGTAATACACATCTCATAGAATGAATTTGGAAATGTTCTCTTATTTTTTGAAGAGTTTACGAAGGGGGTTGATGGTAATTCTTTCTTACATGTCTGTCTAATAGATTTCAGTAGAGAAGCCATGTATGTGTTTTTCTTTGTTCTAAGTTTTTTGATTACTAATTCAATCTCTTTGTTGCAGGTTTATTCATATGTCCTGTTTCTTCTTGAATCAATTTTGGTAGTTTGTGTCTTTTTAGGAATATATCCATTTTATCTAGATCACCTAATCTGATGGCATACAGTTGTTATAGTATTCTCCTGTAATCTTTGTAAGGTCTCCTCTTTCATTTCTGATTTTAGTAACTTTTAGAATAACAGCTTAATTTATATATAATTCACATACTATGAAATCCATTTAAAGTATAGAATTTACTGGTTTTTAAATATACTCATAGTTATAAAATCATAATTTAATTTTAGAACATTTACATCACTTCCAAAAGAAAACCAGTACACATTAGTAGTTACTCTCCATTTTCCCTGTGTCCTTGTAATAACCCAGAAAATAGTTTTAACTTAAAATTAACTAAATAAAGTAAATTTTAATTTATAAGATATTTAAAATACTGTTGAAGTATGTTAAATATTTGTAAAATTCCGGAAATGCTTTTTCTTTTCAGCTTAAGGATCTAAATTTACTCGATCGCTGTATAAAAGAAACGTTAAGACTTCGACCTCCTATTATGACTATGATGAGAATGGCCAAAACTCCTCAGGTGAGTCTCTTGTTAGATAGCCCCTTATATGTCCTCAATTTTAATTTATCAAAGAGATGATTTCCAGGAAGAGAATTTTTTAAATTAAAGAAATAGAAAAATAATCATTTCTAGCCAATTTTCAAGTTTATATGTTCTAAATACATAAATATTTTCATATAATTGGTTAGTCTGTTCCCTGCATTTTTACTTAATGATTTGGGTTTTGTTTTTTTTTTAAATGGAAATACATTTTAAAATTATTTTTAAAATAGCCGAAACTGGTTTGGCTCAATGGATAGAGGTCGGCTTGGGAACTGAAGGGTCCCAGGTTCGATTCCGGTCAGGGGCATGTGCCTTGGTTGCGGGCATATCCCTGGTGGGGGTGTGCAGGAGGCAGCTGATCGATAACTCTCTCTCATCGATGTTTCTAACTATCTCTCTCCCTTCCTCTCTGTACAAAATCAATAAAATATATTAAAAAAATATATTAAAACATTATTTTTAAAATAACATATTTTTTAAAATTCCAACTATATGAAAGCCTAAAAATCAGATTATGAAAAGACTCCTTGAAATTCCACTCCTATCTTTGAGGCACTATGACCTTTTTTGTGTATATACTTGTAGTCCAATTTTGGGTCATTTGGAAATCATCTCTAGTTAAAGTAATTTTTTGCTGGTCTATCGTCCTGCTAGTTTTTAAATCTGATGTATATTAATGCTGTATTGCACAATGACCTGATTTTTTTTTTTGAAGAATATTTTAAAATTGTCTCATGAGTCAATCTGAAAAAAAGTAGACATGTAATACTTTAAACAATAAAAAATTTTTAAAAAAATTATCTAATAAAATAATTTGCTTTCCTTTGTAGACTGTAGCAGGGTACACCATTCCTCCAGGACATCAGGTGTGTGTTTCTCCCACTGTCAATCAAAGACTTAAAGACTCCTGGAGTGATCGTCTGCACTTCAATCCTGATCGCTACTTACAGGACAACCCAGCATCAGGAGAAAAATTTGCCTATGTGCCATTTGGAGCTGGTAAGATGATTATATTTCACATTTGAAATGTTTGTTCTGATAACAGGTGGTCAGAAGTTACCAGAACAAAAATAACCCATGTGAATTTTATTTACAAGTATCTTTCCCTTTCCTAAGAAGGATATTTTTGCAAATGTATGGGGATTTTTTCCCCATACCAATTCTCTGCAGACTATTCAGTTCAGTTCTGACATTCCCTACCTGGGGTTGGTTAGTACAGGCCTCATTGGTTAGAGGCTCAGTTCCAGAAGGCTGCTCCCTTTCCCCCCACTTTCAGCTACAATTAATTGCAAGTCCAGCTGTCACCTGACTGACTGGTTACAAATCGGAGGTCCTCTCAACCCATAATTTGTTGGAGGGGCTCTCAGAACTTAGAAAAAACAGTTTACGTACTAGACCAAAGATACAACTCAGAACAGCCTGACTGAAGAGATGCATAGAGCATGTATGGGAGAAGGGGCAGAGAGCTTCCATGCCCTCTGGGTATGCCACCTCCCACACCTGCAAGTGTTCACCAGGCTGGAAACTCTCTGAACACACTTGTTATTTTAAGGATTTTTATTGAGGCTTCATCACAAAGGCATGCTTGATTAAAATCATTGGTCATTAGGAATTAATTTAACCTCCAGCCTTCCTCCCTCCTGGAAGTCAAGGGGTGGGACTGAAAGTTGCAACCCTTTCATCTCCTGGTTGGTTCCCCTGGCCATCAGCCTCCCTCCTGAGGGGCTTTCCAGAAGTCACCTCATTAACAAACTCAGGTGTAGCTGAAAGGAGACTCCTTCATTCCTCCCCAACCCCCGCCAGCCCCGCCCCCTGGTCAAACATTTGCATAACAGGCTTTTATTATACAGGATTACAGTATCACAGTTGCTGTACCTGTAGTATTGAAGTCAGATTTGAAGTCAGTTTAGTCCTCCAACTTGGTTTCTTCCAGGATGGCTTTGTATATCCTAGATCCTTTGTATTTTCATGTTCATTTTAGAATCAGCTTATCAGTTCTTAAGAGTATATGACCTTTCAAATTTTGATCTCAGTATGTGTTGCTATTTTGGGTATATTAAAAACCTTTTTCTTTCACTGTCATTTGTTAAAGGCATTTAAAGTTTTGATTGGAATGTTTATGCTGACTTTTAACTAGGGCTCTCTTGGGAGAGAAGTATATTGCCAAACTAAATTAGCATCATACTAGTGTATTTCAAACCATCATATATTTAACCTAGACGGATGTTAAGTTTCAAAAAAGGTAATTGAAAAAGTCATATAATTAATTACGCAAGTGCTGTTTCCCTTAAAAATAGATGTTGAAAAAATCTCCTGGGATTGTTTATTAACTATGTATATATTTTATTATTTTAATTTTCACCTGAAGATAGGTGTTTTTTAAATTGATTTGAGAGAGATAGGGAGAGGTAAAGAGAGCGAAAGAGAGAAACATTGATGTGAGAAAGAAACATTGATTGGCTGCCTCCTAAAGCAGCCCTTTCTGGGAAATCAAATTCACTTGTGATGAAGCCTCAAGTATGTGCTTCGACTGGAAATCAAACCTTTGACCCTTCGGTGCATGAGAGGATACTCCAGCTGAGTGAGCCACATCGGCCAGGCCATATTCTTGTTTTATGTGAAAAGAATGTCATCTTTTTATTATATCTGTAAATCTGCCCTTCACCTATAGTTAAGCAAATTTCATCACTCCAGGCTAAGTGAAAAGAATTTCAACTGATTCTTATGAAACATTTTTTTTACAGGGCGTCATCGTTGTATTGGGGAGAATTTTGCTTATGTGCAAATCAAGACAATTTGGTCCACTATGCTTCGTTTATATGAATTTGACCTCATCAATGGATATTTTCCTACTGTGAATTATACAACCATGATTCACACCCCTGAAAACCCAGTTATCCGATACAAGCGAAGATCAAAATGAAAAATGCTCAAGGAATACCTGAAACATCACTGTAAACAGCAAAAGCATTTGAAGAGAATGAAGTTGATGAAACAACTTACTCTTTTTTGAGTGTGTTACTTTAAAAGACAGCCAACTTAACGGGTTTTATATTTTCTTAACTGAATGGTTGCATAAAATCTAGTGGCATTTCAGGCATTTCTTAATACTTTTATGATGGATATTTCTACATATGCTTTATTTAAGGAAATCAGGCTACTTAATAAGTTGTTGTTTAGGGGACCTTGGTTACTGGAAGATTCTAAATAACACAATTTCCAGGTATTTATTTTAAGAGTATACATAGCTCTTGGTAAGTTCAGGATATTCAAATCTTGGACTAGATCTGCAAATATAAAAGCCAAATGAGATACTTGGAAGCCTTAGGTTATTTATTCATTTCCTGTATAATGTTTGGGTGTGTGAGGATAGGTGGTTAGGGGATAAATTCACATTTAAAGCCTTGGATGAAAGAGAATCCTATTGTTTGGTATGATGATAATTAGGAGTAATGGGGTTATGTGGTAGAAAAAAAATGTCTTTAGGAAGTACTGTCTTTTAGGAAATTGAGGGAGTTCTATGGTAATTACATTTCCTAAAAAAGAATGTAATTAAAGACTGCTTGCATTAACTTGATCTAATTACTAAATATTTCATTTACTTGATAAATTTGTATCTGGTTCCACATGGTCACACATCTGTGTGAAAATCCAAAATAAAGTCCCTAAGGGATAATTTTTGTTCTCTTTGGCTCAAAGTGGTTCCCTGCTTCCTCTCCAGAATCTACTTAGGGGTGTTTCTGTTACTAGTTCTGTTATTAAAACTTAACTTAAGGTCAGTTAGATTTCCTTTTTAAATACAAAATCTGAGGTCAGGGAAGAATAGGATCATTGGCCATACTATGTGAAGGCTGTGTTCAAGAATCAACTCAAATTATAACTGGGGGCCTGTCTATGTACCTGTAATTTGGCCACATTGCTGTTTTTAAAATAAGGACAAAATATTTCCCCCTCTAAGTTCTGTTTAAGAGGCTGGAGGACTCATGTTAAACTCTATCTCTGCTATTAGTTTTCCACATTAAAATTACCTTTGAGAAAAATATAGTCTATATTCACGAATTGTAAAGCATGTGTGTTTTAGTAGAATTCAGGAATCTACAAACTAGATGGAAAAAGAATGACATCCTTATTTGTACTGTATTCAAATTTAGGCAACAAACAACATGGTAATAGCAGTACCCATGACTGAACAGAAATCCGTTATTTTCATATCATATTATAGTTGTTGTAGATCTTCAAGTTCTTTTACTCTCATCACTACTATGAAATTATGGTAGTTGTTAGATCTGCTAGATCTTACATCTTTAAACTTACATGTTATGTCACACATTTAAAAAAGTTTGACTACTTCTGTAAAATTGGTTTTCTTTATGTTTATTTTAGACCCTAATTAGTTTTTAATCATAGACTAAGTGTTGGTAAGCATTAACAAGTTGATGGCAGAGGACTATGGTCATAGAGGGCTGATGGTCAGTGGGAGTGAATAGAATGATCAGACACTTGTCCACCTGCTCCTTTCTCAGAGCAAAGCAGCCTTGAATGGCAAGCTATGAAATGTTTTACCCAGAGTCCTTACCTTCGGATATCTGCTTTAGAATACACTTGTTATTTCTATAACTCTTATCAGAACCCAGCTGCTAATAGGAACAATTTAGGTACTGTGAAAATTTTTAAGAATGTATAATTTGTTTCCATATCTTGTTTGTATTGGTATAAATCCTAGAATACCAGTAGTAAAACAAAAATCTGGTTATAAGCATCAAATACTAGTAATTCTTGTTGTTTTTAGTGAGTTGCCATGTTATTAGGGGGGACTCTTTAAGAAAACATTTTTTATATCTCTGAGATATTCCTATTATGAATTTGGCTTAGCAGAAACAGTTTCATTCTATTTGTGGTTAATAAAGTTTAAGATTATTTGAATTAAATGAGTCCTGCATCATCTCAGCAGACATGACTTTGTGAGGGCACACCTTTGACCACAAGTAACAATAAAATTAATAGAGCACATAATAGAGAAAAATACCAATATAGCTTTTAAAATATCATATTAAAAAATCATATAAAAGCCTAATATGCAAATTGCCTCCTCCACCTGGAGTTAGACTGCTCGCTATGATGTGCACTGACCACATTGGGGTGAACATGGTGGACGGCCCTGAGAGGCCCTGATGAGAGTGCAACTGCAGTGGGATGGTGGAGCAGGTGAGCAGGCAGCGCCAGGCCAAGGCAGGTGTGAGAGGGGCCTGATGGCCCCCAACTATTGCCCAGCAGACTGTGACCAGCTGTGGTGATGGGGGGCAGGGCTGCCACCCGGCTCCCAGAAGCTGAGGGAGCTGGGGGGGGGGGGACGATGACTCGAGCAGAGGGGGGTGCGCGAGGCCCCAGGTGCTGCCCAGGGCCCAGAGGTCAGCTGGGACCTGCCCTTCCACACCAGACCCTCACCACCAGGGACTGCACCCATGCTCCACTTTCGTGCACTGGGCCTCTAGTATTACATATATAATAGATGTAAAGTTGAAAAAAAAAACATGCAAAATTCCTCCTCAATAAAGGGAGAGAAAACCCCCAATAGTATCTAAGATTAGGACAACTTTCTGAATCTCTCAAGTCCTACATATTTCTAGTAAGTAATGAGGTGATATGCACTGCTGCAGAATGAATGTGTCTCCCTCCACCCCCAAATTCATTGTTGAAACAATCTGTGGGGTGATTATATCATGGAGGATCTCTCATGGACAGCTACATTGGTATTTTTAAAAGCTATATTGGTATTTTTCCTTATTTGCTCTCGTTTATAAAAGATCTCAGAGAGCTCCCTTGCCCCTTCTGCCATATGAGGAGACAGCAAGAAGATAGCAGTCTATGAATGAGGAAGCAGGCCCCACTAGTAACCATATCTGTTGGTATCTTGATCGTGGACTTCCCAGACTCCAGAACTGTGAAAAACAAATTTCTGTTTATAGGACGCCCAGTCTATGGCATTTTGTTAGAGCAGCTGGAATGGACTAAGACATGCACCAAGAACTATGACTTAGTTAAAAATGAAGAGGGTTCAAATACAGTGTGGTTAAAATGGTGAAGTCATTTTTATTTCAGTACTTGACAAAATACCCCATAAAATTCAAAACTTCTACCATTATACAAAAATAGGTCTCTACAAGTGATATCTGTCATCATCACCAGTAGCAAATATATTAGGCAGAAACAGGTAACTTCAGTAGCCTTGTAAGAAAAGTGCAGGACACCTCAAGCTACACATTCAGCAGTGTCATAATATGCAAAAGTTTAATCTTTTCACCCATTTGATAAATACACCAGGTTTATAATTTAACCATTTAAATTAGCATTCCACAAATACACATGTAATTGAACGATTATTGTGCATGAATACATACACAATGCTTATATGTACAAATTCCAGTTTGCTTTCATGTACTGGCTGGGCTTTGTGTACAATCATAAGCTGTGTTCGTGTTGGTCCCACTGAATATCCGCAATACAGAAGCACAAAAGAACCAGTGGTTTACAAAAGGGAGTTTGCTTAAAATCATGATGTTTCAAAGGGTTATCTTCTCATGCCAGCATGAAAATGAGCGGAACCTAGAAGAGGAAACCAGAATATGTAAATGATTTCCAATTAGATTGCTCTCTGTACCATACTAAATAGTTCATGAAGGGCAGATTACTATACCCTCCATTTAAAAATAATGCTTTTTATAGTCTTAAAAAGTTCTTCATATTTGAAGAGATTTTAAGAGATTTTGAATAGATACTTAAAAGTCACTATGGCAGGCTCTGTGTTTTTGAGCAGAGAGAAATAAAAGGTCATTTTTACAGTCTTTTTAAAGGGATAGGTTTTATGAATCAAACATAAAAGCACAAGATCCTCCTATGAATAATGGCTGCATTAAATGCTTCTAATCCTTGCTTGCTCCTCTTATCTCCCAACCCAGAGAGAGAGAGAGACAGAGACACACACACACACACACACACACACAGAGAGAGAGAGAGAGAGAGAGAGAGAGAGAGAGAGAAACATCGATATGAGAGACTTATCAATAGGTTGTCCCCCCAACTCACCCCAACCAGGGCCAGGGATAGAACCTGCAACCCAGGACCCTTCAATGTGCCAGCTGATACTCTTAACCATTGAGCCCACTGGCTAGCGTGGTGCTGCCAATTTGCGGCTAAGCTGCGAGTACCTGACTGTACAGTTCCAAGGCGCCTTTGCAGTGCCTCCAGCCGGGTGATGTAATCTGTCAGGGCTCTGTCAGGGTCATAATTCTGAAGCTGAGAACATGCTAAGGAAGCAGGATTTAAATCGGCTGGAGGGCCTGGGTACCTATGAGATTCAAAATATAAACATGAACCCAAATTATCCAGAAACAAGGTAACTTCCCCACCAGCCTCCACCGTCTCTCAAAAGGCAGACCACTTGTACATGGCCTGATCTGTATCTTCTGCATTTGTGTTGTAAAGTGAAAAAAAATGCCTCAATAAATGTAAAGCAGCAGCTGTGAAGTCATCACAATAATGTACAGTATACTGCCTGTCACAAGGTCCTCAATAAATGGAGTATATTATCTAATTGCATCTGACTCGCAGCCTGGAGAGGTTTCTTCATAGTGCCCATAGACTATCAATTTTACTCAATTCGTTTCCCAATGCCTAATCCACAGCATTTACTAAAAAACACTTGATCAGATGTTTCCTATACCTTTGGAAACCAGTTACAATTTGATTATACAAATCATATATTCCTGTAGATACATTTAGCTTTTTCAATGCAAATAAGTCAAAGCCCTAACACTTTCCTTTTTCTATCAGTATATTTAACTACTCTAGGCAAGTTTTATCAAATTCTTACCTATTTTGAAATGGAAGAGGAGACCTAGGATAGTCCAGATCTGCTCTTGAGCG